AACTGGTTAACGAGCAGCGACACCCGTGAATTAATCCAACAGAAATATAAACAGAAAAGAGAAAGAAATATTCGGTTCGATTCGAATCAAAAGAATATTCGATTTTGGACAGCCCTAATTAGAGATAAATTTAGGATTGCGCAATAATATCCGATTATTCGGTTCAATTCGAATCAAAAAAATATCCGATTTTGGACAGCCCTGGTTGGAAATAACTTCTATGGCCAAATTTTATTTTCCTGCCCAATTGTATATCATGTTATTAATGGATAGCCGAATTATCTATTCTGAACTTTACCTGTGAAGTCTATGGCACAGTACATAAATCTACATGAGCGGAGACAAACTTATCACAACAGTCTCCGCTTGTGGGACAGAATCGAGATAAATCCATAGGCCTGGGATCAAATTTTGATAAAGCTTGAATACAGGATAGGATTTACATATGGGGGAGAAGAGAGGTGATAAGGTGGCTTAATCATACATGAACCACGGCCTCTCTTCAGGTCACCAGTCCATGTCTGGTACGGTATGGGATTAGTTAGCCAGTTATTTGTTTTCAAAGGCATGGACTTGATATATCTAATTTAATAAATGACGAGATACCGGTACCATACACTGCAAAGTGCAAAGGGTGTTAAACTTGTGATAATACATGAATATGATTGAAAAAATCGGACACCCCAGGCTCATATCTATTTAGGCAATTCATATTGTATGATGCAATGCTTTGGAGGGCCACTTTCATATTCGAGCAGGGCTGCCACTTTTGCCTGACTAAAACATCTAGATTGACCTCGAAAAACATCTAGAAAATACATCTAGATATGAAGTCATTGAATTTATTGAAAAGTAACCATAATACAGTATTATTAGATGTCGAAGAAGCTAACATCATAACCTAGAATTCAATTCCCACCCGCAGAATTTACAAAAGACCTTGTTCAGTTGTTCTTATCATCCAGTCATCTGAAGGAGCAAACCATTCCTTAAGCCAATCTTTTCTAAATTTTTGCTGGTAGTGTATATACTTTGGCATTTTGAAAGGTTGATGTTTGAAGAGAGACACATTCAATAGCACATATAGACTTAAGTAACTTAATAATTTTAAAACCCTTGGCTAGGGATGGGCAATGTAGAATAATTTACTATTCTAGAATAGTTAAATCGAATCCAGAATCCTATTCTATTTTCATACTTATTCAAATAGTGGGAATTTCCACATTGCTAGTTTTAGATGTTAAAAAATTGCAAATGTATTACTTACTATAAATGTATTATTTTATGTCCTGAACATTGGATTTCATTTGATACTAAACAGGCAGTTCCCAGGACAATAAAATTTAGGAATATCACAATATTTTTTGCCTTCAATTGTTCCAAATGTATGTAATCCCTAAATACTAATAAATACTGATATGTTAAATTAAGACACGCTTTAATAGTAGGCTGTTAAATACAAAAATAGACATGAAACGGCTTTAAATCATTATTACTGTAAGTATGTCGAGTGTACGAAAACATACCGGCTGAATTAATTAGATGCATAACCAGCGTGTGGCCGCTGCAACCTATGCGCCGTTGTAAAATATTAAATTTAACCACTATCAATTAAAATCAACTTTTTATTCTGTGCGAGCAAGACACGTAAAACCAAGTTCCCGTAAATGTGATTTCGTACTTAGTTATTAGGTAATAACATCTAAAGAAGAATTCATTTTCTATGATTATCGTTACATATCATTATCTACCCAGACTTGGCCCTACTCAAATTCAATACGTCACTATCTTCGCCAGATGAGGCAACTTTTTTCTAAATTCATCGGCGACTAAAATACTACAGACACTCGATCAAACGTGCATCTATCTGGAACGATAGAAATGTTCTCAATAATAATATACCCAGACTTAGCCCTACTCAAATTCAATATGTCACTATCTTCGCCAGATGCGGCAACTTTTTTCAAAATTTATCGGCGACTAAAATACTACAGACACTCGATCAAACATGCGTCTATCTTAAACGATAGAAACCGACCGCAAAATATGTAATCTTTTGAGAGTGAAATTTAAATGTGACAGATGTTCGCGTTTTGCGATATAACTTTGTATTTCGGAAAATGGTATAATAAAATTATTTGAAATAATATTTGATCTAAATTAATCGCAAGTGATGTTATAACATTTAACGCCTGGCTTTTGCTTTACGTGCATCATTTTTTGGGAAAACTCGTAGGTCGCGAAAAATCATTTAATTTAAAATGAAGCAATGCACGTCTGTAAACAATTAAAGATTGTTGCATTCAGATTTCAGATCATCGGAATATCACCAGTAAGTCGGCACAGATAATTATCATTATCATACGCTAGCTAGATAGCAAAGCAGGAAAACGCAAAAATGGTGCAATAACGAGTCTTCGCCTTGAGGTTATATTGCCGACTGTCCTGAATATGCCGATTGAAATTACAGTGTTTGATGTTTACCGATTTACGGGCTCTTTGCGAGCAGACGTAAGTTTAATTAAACGAGAGAGATTTCCCCGCGAGAAAAACGCTCGTCTATAATTGATAAATGAAAAACCTGAAATACAAAAATTGACGCATGGCGTCGGAAAGGCGGAAACCGAATCCTGTTATCGGATCCCATTGGATTCGAATACTTTGGGATTCGAATCCTCCGGATTCGGTATTCTATATTGCCCATCCCTACCCTTGGCAACATCATCATCAGACCAACGTCGTCGTCCTTTCTACTTAACGTTAATTAAAACGTCACATGTTTTAAACATGTTTAATTCGTTATTCAAATATTTCAAGTGATATGACTGTATGGTACCGGTGGACGAATACAATATGAATGAGTTTTATCGTAAATATATACTGTTTTATCAATCTTACATCGATACTTCTAAATAATGAAATAATATTCATCCACCTACCGGTATTACAGTATTCATGTATTACACACATTTCTTTATTTATTTCCCACTGAATAATATTTAGAACCTTGAAAAAAAAAATATCTAGATTTTATAGCTAACATCTAGGCTCCAAATTTAGATCTTGAAAAAAACATCTAGATCTAGATATAAACATCTAAAGTGGCAGCCCTGTATTCGAGCTTCCTGAACGCAGAACACCGGGGCAGTCGATTTTGCCTGATCGCTGAAGCAACTGTCACAGATTTTTTTAAATTAATCCTACGCGGAAAAATTACGTTTGTTTTTAAACAAACAATCAATATCCAAAATAGGTGTATCGGCTTCTTTGTGTATTTCTCCTGCTTTTCGAATCAGGAATCAAAAAAAAAAAAAACGATAGGTAATGTAAATATACGGTAGTACTGTCAATAAAACTTCAATTTTTGCAACTGTCATTGATTTGAGGAAAGAGTTCCGATTTTTTGTTATTCTTTCTTCGTATGATTGTGTTTAATTAAGTACATGTGTTAACATAATATTGGGTTGTTTTTGGACACGTAGTGGACATAACGATCGTTTCAATATTATGTTGTTGTTGTTCTTGTTCTTTGACACGTTTTTAAAAAGTCGCTTTTCTCTTCGAATACTGGACCAATTGCTTTGAAATTTTCAGTGGTTAAAGATTAATTTTTTCGCTAGAAGGCTATTACTTTTGTTTATTCTTGAATTTTATATGAATCCTATGAGATATGATATTTCATACAAAATTTCGCGGTATTTATTTTTACTCATGGGAACACTGTTTTACACCTATTTCAAGCTGTTTCGCGATCGATTGTCTTGCTCAGTACTACAGCTACTGTAGGTCGGTACTGGTAAGTTGCCATACCGGTACCGTAACGCAGTGAAATTGACTTATTCCTTCCGCGGTATTACTAATGCTGCAATGCAAGTTTTATAGCCTATCGTATGCGGAACGGAATATCAGACCTACAGGTTCGGTACCGGTAGCTCAGTACGTAAGTACGATACTGGTACTGGTGCCGGTGTCTTACCACAATGAAATTACCGTAACTTATTCTTTCACGGTCCTACCAGTGCAGTAATGCAAGCGTTGTAGCACTTGTAGCCTACTATATTTGTTTATTTTGATGAGAGTCTACTGGAAACAACATAAAATTTGAAAGGGAAGAATTGTTCTGTGATCAATTACCGTATATGGCCTACAGTGTACAGGTAACATGCTGGCTGACTGCTAACCGGTACTGGTAGCTCAGTACGTAAGTACGATACTGGTACTGGTGCCGGTACCGGTGTCTTACCACAATGAAATTACCGTAACTTATTCTTTCACGGTCCTACCAGTGCAGTAATGCAAGCGTTGTAGCACTTGTAGCCTACTATATTTGTTTATTTTGATGAGAGTCTACTGGAAACAACATAAAATTTGAAAGGGAAGAATTGTTCTGTGATCAATTATCTGTCCTAAAGTGTAAACAACATAAAATTTGCAAGGGAACAACTGTTCTGTGATCAATTACCGTATATGGCCTACAGTGTACAGGTAAGATGCTGCCTGACTGCTAACTCAGTACCGCTTGACACGTTTTTAAAAAGTCGCTTTTCTCTTCGAATACTGGACCAATTGCTTTGAAATTTTTAGTGGTTGAAGATAAAAATTTTCTCCAGAAGGCTATTACTTTTTTTTTCGCTATGACGTCATCAAAATTATGTGACTCTACGTGTCCATATATTTGAGCATAGCTCTCTTGTTATATTCTATTTTCTGCATAAATTCAACTGCATGATGTCGCTGACTAGATGACGCATTGAGTCTTTCGCGACCCATCGTCAACTGCAACAAGCCGATTTCCGTTTTCGCAATTTATGTTTAGTACCGAATGCTCAAAACTTCGCAAAATTAATCCCATAGAGCTCACAGATATATTTTTCTCAACAACAGTATAATATCAGAACGATCCATAAGTCTAATTGGAGTCCAAAAGACGATGAGATACTCCTGTATGGGTTTCTGTACATTGTGGAGTATCCCGTGAGCTGCCGAATTTGATTATTCCCTCTATGTGTGTGTAATGGATCTTGCTCAACAAGTTCGTCAACTTGAATACCTCTATTTGGAAAAATGCTCGAACGGCTTCTAAAATTAACATAATGGTTTTCGGCGTCTTCTTTCACCCTGGAATGCAATTTTTTCATATTTTCTTCACTTTGTGTATGTATCGTTCGTACTTCCAGCCTGGTGAAGAAATAAATTGGTGATAACTGGTTTTGGCTGATCAGCCATTGTTACGGCAAGAATTAAGAAAGTCAACGTTTTTAACATGAATACAATGAATTACATTTGTAAAAATATAATTTCAAATTTTATTGATAATACTGTAAAATATTCATTAACTAATTGTTATCTTTCGTTTTGATTTCAAAAACAGAGTACGTACAAGGAAGTTTTTTTCTATGTATGTGAAGTTTGCCATTTTTAAATGCTGAATATTTTTCACTATCACGGATATCACATAGAAATTTGAAAAACACATCAAAAATCGGTTTGTGCTTCTGAATTCGGCATCTATATATATAGAAACGGGTAGCCAATAATACACAGTTAACAAATTGCAAATTAAGAATATCATCAAACCCCATGAAACATTCTTTTATACTAAGACTAAAATTCAAATTCTCAGTTTTGAAAACTATCCATTGGTCTACCCAATGACATTAAACAACATGATAGGCAACTCTGACGTCACTCCATAAGACTACAGGCAAAACCAGGGCTGGGGAGTCGGAGCTGGAGCCATGGAGCCGTGACATTTTGATGGAGTCGGAGTTGGAGCTGAGCTGGCCATGATAGATGGAGCTGGAGTCAGAGCCGGAGCTGCCAGAAATTTCAGCGGCTCCAGCTCCTGACAATAGAATTATTTTTTTTTTTTACTTTTCTGGTTTTTTAATAATTTCTGGGGGTTGAGAAATAATTAATTACGTCGATTTTAATTCTATAATTTCTGGCGTCTCCAAACACTTAACAGAACTAAATAGTTGTATAATTACCGGTTATCAAGTTACTATTGTTCCAAAGTAAATAGTGTTGGATTATATCACGGATCTTGGTATTTTTGAACGGCGATAACGATTTTGCAAGATCGCAAAAATATGAATCAAAATTAATTATAATCGGGCAGTTTTCCACACATTTTACGTCCGTAGCTTGTCATTTATGTCAGAGATGCTTTTATTATTTCGTAAGTCGACGCAACATTGAGTTACTTTGAACAGAATAAAAACAATAAGGCAAGTGCTGGTATCGGTAATGGGTTACATTTTTAGCACAATAGAAAATTATTTTCTGACTGGTCGTTTTTTTTAAAATATTATAAACAAAATTATTCGCCAAAGCGCAGGAAAAAGTATAAATTATATTATCCTAATCTTCCCAATAAAGCAACTTATTTTTCCGACTTGCGAAAGTTTATTGGGGTATCGTAACAAAACGTATGAAAACAACTTATTTAATATATGACCTTGGTTGGATCTAAGCGAGACGTGTGAACATAATAATATTCAAATTTTGATTTCACTTCCATTCGCTCGCGGGATTGGCAAGAATAAACGCTTTGCGGGAAGGTTTTCTAAAAGTGAGTGCGTTTAGTTATTAATAATAACTTTACATAATTAATAATTTCCCGACGTAACTGGAAATAAATGCGAAAATGGCGACAATATCCACCATGCAACCGTGAAAGAATGCTGTAACGCGCACTGAAAAATGAATATATATACCAAACAATCTAACAATTCTATTTTGTCGTCTTTAAAACACATGACAAAGTGCATAAAATCGTTTGAAGATTTTGCACGGAAACGAAACAAACAAACAGCTTGCGAAAAGTGACTATTACTTTAAAATTTGAAAAAGTATCGGAATACTTTGATATAGCAATATGGACTGATAAAGTTATTTTGTCGTGAAAAATAGCGGTAATGCATTCTGATATACTGTTTTCTGTGAAACTTAAGTTTCATGCTTGAGAACTACAAGCAGTCGCGGTCGTTAACGGGGTTGCACACTTAATTCATTTTTTGCTATACGATCAAATTACCACATATATATGTATACTAATATTTATTGATGTCGATTAGTGGCCAATGCAACCGGCTATTTTACGATTACCTGATTACAACTCCTCACTGCTTTTCTTTTTCTAATAAATGGTATTTACTGGCAAGTGTTAAAAATACTTTTGTAGATAAAAAAAAAACAGACGACTTAAATTTCTTAGAAATATTATTTGCGAATAATTTGATTTCGGCGATCTAAAAAACCTCATTGCCGCTAACGACTACTAATAAAAAACAAAACTATATTGCAAAGAGGGGCGTTTTGACTATTTGGGAATCCCTAAATATTATGTAATATTTCCGAATTTAGATCTGAAGTGTCGTATATAAGGTTAGGTCATGGGCTTTCTCAGCTTGGTTGTATATAACGTAAAATGGATTCCGAAAAAAATGCGAATTGTTTTCTTGTCTTCGTCTCGTAAATTGCACCGCGATATAATGATGCGACGCGGTAGGTCACATGGAGTGTGTTCAGTGGATTTAGTCGAAATCGGGATTGCGCAATAATTGATTGTAGTACAGGTGTGGCTTTCGCAATACATCGGCAATTGTGGACAAGAAAAAAGCGATTGGCCGATCGCTAATTTACCTTTGTGACGTAACTAACAGTAACGACCACGTAGACATGTCTGGGCATGTTCAAGCAATGCTGAAACATGACATGCTGGCTTGCATGCCTAGGTGTCGGAATGGCCAGTTGATGTATATTGTATACCAGTGGTTCTTAAACTTTTTCGAGCGCGACCCAAATCCTAGTTTTATGAATACTCGCGACCCAATCCTAAATAACGCAAAATGTGTTTTTTAATGTTAGTACAGTTTGACTCAAATACAGACAACTATTTATTAGAAACAGTCCATTGACTCAGTGAGATTGATGAAACTGAAATTCCCTTTTCATTATATCTTCAATACACAGCTCTATTTTACTTAACGCAATACGCAAGTTGTCACGTGTATCGAGGCGATTGCGAGCTTAGTTTTGAAAACCGTCAGTGCCAAATATCCTCGCTCGCACAAGTGCCTTGTCGCGGATGAAAGCAGAAAAGGCGTCCGCTGTCCGTCGAAAACACGACATCCTAGCTGGCCTTCGGTATCTCTCGCAATATACAACTTTTTACTCATCAAATGTGCACACACTGCTTCGTTCGCGGTGAATGGTGCCTCGAGATGAAGTCACATTTTCTCTAGATATTGAATAATCTAATGTCGAGAAGCGAGCTTTTTCATTGCGTCGTCTATTACAATTTACATTACCAAAAAGACACCCATTTTTGGTTATTTTAATCCACTAAGACGACATTCCACGCGGTCAACACAACGGCAAGCGACGTGCATGGTTACCGATACCATAAAAATAATACACGTGACTGGCATATCAGAATTGTGATGTAACAATGAGCTCAAGACAGTTCTTTCCATGAATGAAATTTTATATTTCATTATTTTTATATACCAGAGTTTAAAAGCTAAATTGAAACATTGGGAAAGCTGAAAATTCGTCCTTCTCCTCTTAGATTGCCCTTGCATTGACGACCTTGTCGCGACCCATTTTTAAACCTTCCGCGACCCATGTTTGGGTCGCGACCCATACTTTAAGAACCACTGTTGTATACGATACAATTTCTCGCTTGTAGAAAATGCTTACCTAATCTTAATGCCATTCATGACAATATAATATTTCATTTTATTACTTATCGATCTTAAGATCGGTAAGTATATTGATAGGTATTTGTCTGTATGTCTGTCTGTGTGTGTGTCTGTTAGATGCACGCGATATCTCACGAAAGCGAGATTGAATCTGCTCCAGATTTTGCATGTGCATTCATCTTATCTCGGACCAGAGGCCTATTGATTTTGGGCGAATTATGTCGTATAATTAGCGAGTTATCAATCAATTATTGATATAGTGATCTAGATTTTTGTAAAGCGAGAGAATTTTGAAACCCGCCGAGTGTGTGTGTGCGATGCGCGTGCGCAAGTTACAAGAGCGGATGAATCGAAACTGCAGTTTCTGTTTTGGGGGATCCCCTAACTATCGATCGATAAGTCTTCGGTTTCCAACCGATATTCTCGTTTTAAATGTTATTTAATATTAAATTAGAGAAAATTAATTTGTAAGAAAAACTAAGAATGCAACCCTTGTACCATGGCTTGCAAAAGTAAAAAGTCCGCAGTGTTCAAATATTTCAAAGAGAGTGGAGATAAAAATGCACTAATCTGCCAAGTATTAAAGAGAGAGAGAGAGAATTTATTATTTCGTCAACCAGAAAACACATAATATTAAATATAATAATAACATAACGAGAATATCGGTTGGAAACCGAAGACTTATCGATCGATAGTTAGGGGATCCCCCAAAACAGAAACTGCAGTTTCGATTCATCCGCTCTTGTAACTTGCGCACTGCGCATCGCACACACACACTCGGCGGGTTTCAAAATTCTCTCGCTTTACAAAAATCTAGATCACTATATCAATAATTGATTGATAACTCGCTAATTATACGACATAATTCGCCCAAAATCAATAGGCCTCTGGTCCGAGATAAGATGAATGCACATGCAAAATCTGGAGCAGATTCAATCTCGCTTTCGTGAGATATCGCGTGCATCTAACAGACACACACACAGACAGACATACAGACAAATACCTACCGATCTTAAGATCGATAAGTAATAAGTGAAACAAAAGTTTTCGGTATGACTGGGAGGTAACGATACGACCAGTTACGGTCATCTGAGTCAGTTACCACCCAATACAACACATGAATAAATACATAAATTGACACAGGTTCTTTTTTTTTAACTCTCAGTTTATAGAGAACTATTTACACTATTTACAAAACGAGGATAAATTTTGGATTCATCTAATCAGGGTTGGGAATTTATTGTGAAAAATGACACATTTATAACAGTAACATAATGTGGTTTTTGTTTAAGTTAATTTAATGGTAGAAAAAGAGGAGTGCATTTCCAAAATAGATACTTAATTCTAAATGAGCCTATATATGAGAATTAATTAGTACATCATATTAACACTATGAAAAAATAAAAAAATAATACTACAATAGTACATAAATAGACATATGCAAATTTAAGCAGATATGATTTATTAAACACAAAGATGAGACAGTTACAATAGTCCAAAAACCATTTCAAATCTTACAAAAATTCATAGTCTACCCCAAACGAAAACTTTGGTAGTAGTAGTATAAAAAAATGGTTAAATTTATTAAGATATCGCATATCGATAAATTTTAATCACACTCACAGTTAATTAAATAATCCATAACAACCGCTTAACAGTAATTGACAATGTAATTATATTGAGGAGCATCACATGAATTTAAAAAGTCACTTAGCGGAGCAGTTTTGGGTTACTAGGGTGGTATAACACCAGACCTAATGTTGTGCATAGATAGGATAGCAGAAAATGAATGGAAATGTTTGCAGAATGATAAATGATAATGCATGAGATATATATAAAACAGTGGATTAATTTGGTTACTCCCAAACGTAAACTTTGGTGGTAGGGTATCAAAAATTGCCAAATTTAATAATTTATTGCAATATCGATAAATGTGATTAAATAAACCATAACAACCACATAATGGTAATTGAAACAGTAATTATATAATATCAAACCTATTGTTGAGCATAGGTGGGATATCAGAAAATGATTAGAATTGTTTGCAGAATAATAAATGACAGGAATGAAATATACATAAAACGATGGATTAATTTGGCAGGATAGACCAAGAATAATACATACAAGTACACTATAGTCTAATTGTAGGGCCAAAAGAGGCCAGTTTCCAGCCATTGTAGCATGAACCGCAATTAAGGAGTGGAGGAATATATTAGAATGTAGCAAGTGAGTTTTATGATTAGAGAATAAAAAATTTATATAACAATTATATTAACGCAATTAAACAAGTTATGAATATCAATTTTAGACAAACCATGAATTCTTGAATCGTCAAAAGTAAACTGGTTGTTATAATGAAATGGTATTGCGATTCACATTCAACAGTGCATGCTTTTTTAACTATTAACATATGAGATTTAATATGAAATTCACAATATGAAATTCTGATTACACTACACATCTAATTATTAAAATGAATTAGGAATACTGCATTGTATAATGAAATTCATTTAGGTTCTCACCTTCAGATTTACCCAGTTAGCCCAGGTCATTGACTACTGAAAAGCATAATAACCACATATTTAAAATTTGCACATGTATGTGTACATCTCAGGAATGTCTAAGCCACTATGTAAATATATATGATGCCGTACATGAAGAGCATGTAGCAAGTATTGATAAATCTTGAACCTTGGTTTGGAAAGAAGAATAGAGTGAATAAATATCACAAAATGCTACAAAAATGTATCCTACATAATTCCAAGATCTAGCTAGGTTTCAAAACATATTGACTTGCAATTTGTTAGCCATATAGTTGGATTATACCATGACACATACAGGGTGGCTCAAAAGTAGGTATACAGTTATTAAATTAATAACTATGAACTATCAGGCACTAGTCATATGTGTAAATCCACTAAACCAATACATGGAGAACAAGTTAAAATAAGCATATTAGACACATGTCCACATCAGTATCCATTGAAATTGGAGGACTTAAACTTTGCATTTAATATTTGGATATGATGTATTTCATGAACTCAAATTTAAATTTTTGTACGAGAAAGTTTTTGGAATGTCTGCGATATCATTCCAAATTTTAGGGCCTATGAATTTGATAGAATTTTGAGCAAATTTTGAATTTGTTCGTGGAATAAAAAATGCTCCCTTAGAAGCGGAACGAGTACCATAAGAATGACAGAACTACAATCACTAAATACAAGTCAAAGGCCTCTGGCAACATACTATGCCTGATTTTGAAACATTAATTTAGCAATTTCATAGATATAAACATCATTTAATTTTAGGAGGTTCATACGCTTGTAAATGGGGCTCATATATGATGCAAGGAGTATTGGTCATAACCCGAAGAGCTCTATTTGTAATACAGTTATAGCATTAAGTCTAGTTTTATCAGCGGAACCCATGCCACAATTCCATACTGTAAGTGCGAATAAAAAGAGAGAAAGTAAACAGTTCGCATGATTTTTTTAGGAATCAAATTTTTTATCCTTGTCATTATTCCTACAGACCTAGATAGTTTCAATTCAGGGAGTTGATGTGTCGGTCCCATTTGAGCTTGTTATCTATGAATATTCCAAGGTATTTAACTGCGTCATGCACGTTTAGTCTAACACCACTTAGAGTAAAATCAGGACAATGTGGATACTTGATATTTTTATTATAGGGATGATTTATTAGTAGTACCTGTGTTTTCTCAGGATTTATAGTTAACTTATTAGATTTCATCCAATTAGATATATTTTGTAAGTTTATTTTGACTAGATTGGACAAATCAAAGATACTGGAAGATATTTTACGTTATGCTTGTGTCATCAGCGAAAAGTTTGAATATTCCTGAACTACAATTAACTACATCATTTATATAAACAAGAAAAAGGGTTGGCCGAGAACTGAGCCCTGGGGCACGCCAACAGAAACAAGTTCATGAGGTGATTCATTGGCAGAGACAGTGACAAATTGATTTCGACCGTGCAGGTAACTAGAAAATAGTTTACTCACAATACCGCGGATCCCATAATGTTCAATTTGCTTATAAGTATTTTGTGATCAACTGTGTCAAACGCCTTTTTTAAATCCAAAAATATACTACAGCCAACCAAACCCTTATCAACGATTTCATAATATTTACTAATTATATCTAAAATTGCATGTGTAGTCGAGTGATGATTTCGAAAGCCAAATGATCGCTATTAATAATAGAGTGTTTATTAAGGAAATTTTGGAGGCGACTAAGCATCAACTTTTCAAAAACAATAGAGAAGCATGAAAGTATAGAGATGGGTCGATAATTGGATACATTATTTTTTTTTCCAGATTTATAAACGGGAACAACTCTGGCAACCCTCAAGATGATCTGGAAATATACCAAAAGAAACAGAGTAATTGAAGAGTTTGCAGAGAACTGGACTAATTGTACTGCACAAAAGTTTCAGGAGATAAGCTGGAATATGGTCATACCCGGTTGCTTTGTTAGTTTTTAAAGAATTGATTATATTTACTACTTCATTCAATGAAGCATCTTCCATAAACATAGACAATTTGTTTGGAGCGCTCATGAATTTTAGATGCTCATTATTGCTCACATCCTGAAAAGCCGAAGACAACGTTTGCCCAATCTGTGAAAAATACTTATTGAACATTCTTGATATTATGCCACTGTCATGAACTACCTCCCCTGAATGCTGATCAATTAGTTTTTGAGGAACGTTATTGCTTGATTTAGAATTTATTAAGGAATTTATTGTGCTCCAAGTCTTTTTTGGATCATTTATATCATTTTCAAAGCGCTTTGCAAAATATATCTCCTTAGCTTTCTTTTTCAAGTGGCACAATTTGTTGGCGTATTTCTTATAGTGCAGTTTTTGTTCAGATGATCCGTTAATAAAATGAGTCTTATGCAATTTGTCTCTGGCTTTGGTCGAACGCATAATGCCACTTGTTATCCAAGGTTTTTTCTCTAGATTACGTTCTTTTCTAGTAAGTTTTCTTAATGGTGCATGCTTATCACACACGTTTAGGACTTTAGAAATAAAATCGTTAAAACATGAATTGAAATTATCAGCATTAACATTAGAAAATGGATTAGAGTTAAAAAGATTTTGAGCGTCTTGAATAAAGTTAACATCAACAAACTTTCATGTCACGTTTCATTTTTGGTGGGAGTGGGAAGATGCATGACTAAGTTGAATCTGACAAAAAATAGGGTAATGGTCTGTCATGCAATTTTGCCAAACAATAGAGGAAACACATTTTCAGATATATTGCAATAAATATGATCTATTAAAGTAGCGGTTGAACTGGTTACTCGAGTCGGTTGGGTTATTACTGGAATTGTGGCGTGAGACATCAAACATTTCAAGAAAACTTCTTGTAAATGCTGAGGAGCTTAACAAGTTAATATTAATATCACCTAATATAATAAATTTCTTTTTGTCAATTACCAATTGGTACAGAGTATTGCTAAGCGCAGCCATAAAGTCAGATTCGCTGGATCTTGGGTGTCGATACACCACACCAAGAACTATCGAAGAAGAATTTTCAATGTGAATAGGTATTTCAACCCAGAGATCTTCGCATGAGTTAACATTCAGAGTATATTTATGCAACACTGAAGGATTTAGATGTGACCTAACATATAATCCAACTCCACCAGCTTGCGTTTTTGTTGGAGTATGTAAAAAATCATAACCTTGAATATCTATATTAACAATTGGGTCAGTTTTAAGTTTTGTTTCAGAGAGAGCTATTACAGTTGGGAATGAATTTAGATTAAGTACAATGTTGGACAATTCATCTATATGCTTTTGTAGTGAGCGAATATTAAAATGAGCCAGAGTAAATTGATTTTTAGGTGCACCAGAACAGCCTAAGGTATCATATACATTGTCAAAATCTCGAACGACAAACATTGTTCAACATTTTCAAAGTTAAAATTAGATGTATCAAGTGGTTCTAATTTTTTGTCAAATACATAGGGGCCAGTATAAAATGGAAAAGTACATTTTAAACAAGTAGAGCAAAGACAATCACAGCTTGTAAGCAAATTATCAGAACAATTGAAGCAAAATCGCTGAGTGGCCATTTTACTGACCTAATATGCAAAAGATATCAACAGACTATTTAGGATAGATTTTCAAGATCTGAGAGCTCTGATATTGGAATTCTGGGACTATCTTTAGATTTGCGCATGAAAATTTTGCCATTGGTTGTCCACAGCCTCTCATACATTTTAGATTTTTTCACCAGTCTTGAGTTATATAAAAGATTATTCCTAAAAGGTGTGAGATTTTCATTTATGTAAAGTGAGACCATACCTGTTATACCAAAGTCCTTGATTTGAGAAGCATCAAACTTTTTAGCTATGAATTCATTTTTTTTATTTCTGTTAGTGAATCGAACAATGATCGGTCCAGTTTTAGAACTATCTCTCCTTGGAAGACGATGCGATACCGAAATGTCCAGTCTTTCCACAGTGATGCCCAGTTTTTTCCCAATTTCTACAACTATGTTATCTGTGTTTTCGCCTTCCCTGAAGGAAATCCCATGAAATTCAATATTTTCCCTTCTCACGTACTGTGCAAGGTCCTCAAAATCATGGTCGAATCGGTGCTTAAGAGAATTAAACATACTTAGTAAGTATTCATTTTTGGCAGACAGATTCCTCACCACCTGGTCCAGCTTAACAATGTAATCTTTCTGGATCTCAAACTCTGCATTAATAAACTCCTGGCTGGCTTTTACTGTGCAGAGATCAGTGGCAAGATTACAATTTTTGAGACGCAGACCATCTAGTTCTTCAGTTACTTTTGAAAATTTCTCTACCAGCTGGTCACTTTGAAGAAACATAGCCTCCAATTTCTCAGTCATCTGCTGCGTGTTATTCAGGACTGATTCATTAATATGAGTTAAAATCTTTTTGTCGTGTTCACTTATTGAGTCATCTAGTAGGTCCCTTATGCTTTCTTCCACTATTGCTTTTATTTCTATTTTTAAATTTTTTGTAATTCGCGATTCCAACAACTCCAGCTTTGTATTCAATTGATCAAATTTCCCCTCCATTTTATCAGATGAAATTATCAAGTAGTCTAAGTTAGTTTTAAGTATATACAAGAACCTGTGAAATCTTAAACAGGGAATAATGACAACTCAATCCAATCTACCATAAACTTCAAATTATAAAACTGACAGATATTCATAAAATAGAGGTACTGAAAACTGATGCATTAACATCATAACAATAAACTCCCTGTCACATTTACTCATTATTTCTATAAGCAAAGTAATATTCATTCACATAGTACACAGTCTTCTGCCCATGGTTCTTACTATGTGCATCGTTTCACCACCAAACTAACACAAAATTCAATAAAATATTTAGGTGTTAAATTATGGAACTCTTTGGCTGATAGTATTCGAAACATGAATTACGATGCATACAAACAAGCATTGAAAAAGGTATACCTAGGCGGCTATATACTTGATCCGTCAGCTTTTCAAATAATATGATTTCCTTTTCTGGCGTATTGTATATATCAGTATATAGACGTTCATATAGTCTCCGTAACGTACGGCACCCTTCCGGTCTTGATGCCTCGCCCTGTTACCGGTACTGTGATGGGATATTGTTCCGTACAAATTCCGATTTACTTGAATTCTTGCTGTTACCATATCCAGTTATTTTTTGTGTGATCCTACTCCACTAATAAAATGGTCCTTACGTTTCGTATCCAATATGCCTCAGTAGGCTACAACAATGACTTTAAACAACATGATAGGCAACTCTGACGTCACTCCATAAGACTACAGGCAAAACATTGTATTTCATGATACGCTCCAATGCACATATTTCTCGTCGCCTTTCGCGTCCGTTTTCCGCTCGCTTTTGCTACTCGGCGTCTTTTTTACGTGTAGTACCTGCCTTTTTGCGCCTGAAACGAAACAAAATAATCTCTATATCTAAGAAGTTTTGCTTACTTGGAAAGCTGGAATAACAGGCAAGCTGTAAAGAGCAATTCTGGACATCATAGACGTTTTTTTTTATCAGAGAAGATTACAAACGCGATAGCGGAAAGATTTGTGTGGAACATTTTGCAGATAATGACAAAGTTCAAAGTTAGTAATTTTAATGTTGGCGCTTAATCATTGAAATTTCATTTAAAGAGGGTGTCATACAAAACTGTGCTGCGATACAATTCCATAACACAAAGTTTGCACCTATCGAACTTGCTTTTGTAGGTGAATTTATTAGACATATTACATATTCAGTTAATCGTAGGTAACATTGCTGGTACATAATGCATCGTAGATAGGTTTGTTTAAATTTAAGAATTTAGCTCATAGCCCACTAATTAATATTATCTTCTATGCAGGAGGTTGCAGGGCTGAATTCAACTTGCAGCCTTACCGATCACCTGACGATGCTCATTTAGTTTGGCTCGAGCAAGTCTTCTTGAAATGCTTGTGTGGATAGAAACTACCTATATTTTTTGACTTCCTCCGATTTTAGACAAATTTATTCTGAGGGATTTCGCATATAATTCTCACTGATTGTTGGCTGTTTATAATTCCTATTGAATGTGAATTCTGATTATAACAATGAGTTGAAATTTTTTTACCTAATTTACTGGCACCTTTTTCTTGTCAATACTCCAAGCTGAGGTAATAAACATGACAATACATTTATGTCATCTGGAAGCAAAATATGCACACTAATTAATAGTTTGGCACATTGAGATAATACATCATGACAGGAAATACAAGTTAAAGATATGTATGACCATCACATGGTAATTAAAATTAAAAAAAATTAATAGGGGCTGTGGAGTATGGAAAGTTCAAGACAAAGAGAAGAACAAATGTTCATAGCTCATGAACTCTCAATTTTGCCTCAATTGCTTTGTGAAGGCCAATATATTTCGAGTGGCTGAATTGGTTTACCTTTATGATAGCAACGATTTTTTATTTAATATAGCGAGATTATTTCAACTTAATTGAAGTGATATAATTTCCCAAAGCAATGCTTGAATCGTCTAGAATAGATCAGTGGTGTCAAACTCATGGGTTTTCGAGAGCCGCATTGCATTTTGAAAATTGTAAAAAGAGCCGCAAACAGTTTTTGATAATGTATACTTAAAAGATATTTTTAAGATAGTTTTAGTTTGTGACATATATTGTGATGCAACTAAACAGTTGGATTAAGTTTTATTATTTTCTTCAATTTCAAATGCAATTACATATTAATATTTGCATTCCACTATTATTGCAACATTTGCAAGTTACAGTATTTATTATAAAAAATCGTAAAATTCTATGTACAACCATCAAAATCATTTTTGAACAAGCTTTGAATAAGGAAAGAATAATACATACACTAAAAATAACTTATCTAAATATATGAACCTAAAATTAACAAAAATACTACAGTATAAACTCAATGTTTTAATAATTACATTTGTCCTGGCGTGTGGCATCTTTTTTGTGTCACCAGCATACTAAGGCCAGTCTGAAATGATTTTATAGTACCAACTCTAACTAACGAGGCCACATGATCATGGGTTTATCTGGATCTTTACGAATGTTTAATTAATTCCAGTAATGCAAAAAAGTTACTTTTATCATTTCATGTATAGATCAGTAAAAAAACAAATGACAGATTTTTTCGACAAGACATTTCGCACTACATTGCGTGGCATAGGATTGCTTGAATTATTATTGATATTGATTTTTAGTAACTAAGTCGTTGTATAATTATATTAATATACAAACACATGGAAATTTTCTGTTCGAAGTTGGTCTTCGAATTTGTCATATTGACTGCTGAGCTTATTGTGTTTTTTGATTGTATTGATGGAAATATGACAAATTAAACAATGTGCTTCAGAATTTTGTGAAGAGCAGAAATGTTACAACTCCCATTTTCTTCGAAAATGCCACCTTCTTCATGTACTTTGCGTTTAATTTAATTACTCAAGTGTTTTATTCAAGTATTCTTTTGCTAGCTTGATGTGTATTCTTAATTGGGTCAAAATGTGGACAAAAAAAATCAATATTCCAAAACTACTTTCAGTAAATTGTTTTCTGTGTGAATAATCAATTTCACTTTAGAAGGTTTGAAAAATCTATTACATTTAGATAAAAATAAAAACTTCCAAAATACTATTACAATTATTGTTAAGCGTTCGAGGGCCGCACTGGAAGTTCTCTGGGGCCGCGAGTTTGAGATCCCTGGTCTAGATTGAAGTTGTTCAAAAAATATATGATAGTATTTTATCATGAATGATGATTATACCCCTTCCGGAATTTCTTCTATAGTACTACCAAAAGTTGATGAACCAAATATAACACAGGTGCAGTGAGGTACCCGTAATCCTCATTTCCAAAGCTGTTTAAGTATGTCTGGCGTGTTTTGTGCCTTTTTACAAATAAGACCGCTTATGCAATCTTACGCTTTGGAATTTTTAGTTATTTTCCTCAAGCCCTGCAGGATGTGGAGGCCATACACAACTCTACCGGAGGGTCAAATGTCTTTGCATGCCTCCATAGGTTGTTTTTCTATTGCAATTTTCTATTTTCAATTGCATTATATTTCTTGGAATCACACTGTCACTGATATGTCGCCAGACTTCTGATATCTCCCCGCCTGCTATAGTTGTCCTGTGAATAAATAATAGGAAATTGAGATTAGACGAATAGTTGAAAGTTTTGCTTTATGTCGGCTTAATTTCTTGATTGATATACTTGCTATTTCTGCTATTGCCTCTTATGCTGCAAGAGTCTCACAATGCTTACACAGGTTTGTCCACAACTTTCACATCTGAAGAAAGAGAGGAGATTTATTAATTTTCGTTAAGAATAAATAAAGCAGTCTATATGATTCAGAATGGAAAAGCTAATAAATCCAATATCTCATGTTTTATTTAAAAAATATTTTACTGAATTTGGTATATAAACCAAATAATAAAAGGGTTTAGTCAGAAAATTACAAGCATTCGTGGCTCCAAATACTTGAGAAATCAGACTATACAATATAGACCGGTATGAGTGAAATGTTAGGTGAACTTGTTAACACTTTGATTCAATACGCAAATAAAAGTGAATGCGTAATAGTATGTTACAATGAGCAGCAATCAACAATGAGTATATATCCTCACTGATTAAAAAAATCTAACTGGAGGTGCATGAACTATTTGAAACCATAAGGGGTAAGTAAATATGTAATTTCGGCAAATGGGCAACTACGTACCGTACTGAATTAATAACTTCGTAGTATTTGACAAAGGCTGGCTTTTCCACATGTACTTAACAGTGCGATGCCCGGGTGTGATATACAACAATAGTATTCACCTTACCTTTTACCGATTTCTTTTTACCCCAACTTTCAAAAATATCAATAAAATCGACAACAACTGTCAAAGCAGGCACGAACACCATTCGTGCTACGCCTTGAAAGCAGCACACATCCGCTCGTTTTCGTCTCGTCAAGTATGTGCATTGGAGCGTGCTGTCGAATACGATCTTCGGACAAAAATGCCGGAGTTGCGCATCATGTTGTTTAATGTCATTGGCTACAACAACCAGCTTTTGATGTCGCTGACTCGATGACTGTCACAGTCTTTCGCGACTCCTTATCTATTGCTATGAATCTCTCACTTGTATGAATTCTGATGTGTATATTTAATTTTTTACGATTGTCATTATACACGTAGGGATGGGCAATATAGAATACCGAATCCGGAGGATTCGAATCCCAAAGTATTCGAACCCAACGGGATCCGATAACAGGATTCGGTTTCCGCCTCTCCGGCGCCAAGCGTCAATTTCGGGTTTCTAATTTATCAATTAAAGACGAGCGTTGTTCTCGCGTGGAAATCTCTCTCGTTTAATTAAACTTGCGTCTGCTCGCAAAGAACCCGTAAATCGGTAAACATCAAACACTGTCATTTCAATCGGCACATTCAGGACAAGAAGTCGGTAATATAACCTCATGGCAAGGACTCGTTATTGCACCATTTTTGCGTTTTCCTTCTTTGCTATCTAGCTAGCGTTATTTGTGCCGACTTACTGGTGATATTCCGATAATCTGAATGCAACAATCTTTAATTGTTTACAGACGTGCCTTGCC